TTTAAAGCCGTTTTAGTTATGTATTTCATACAATCCATTATATTATTAGGTACCTATGTTCTATTACATCCTGTATATGCATCTGTATCATTCAATTTAAATAAATTTACGTTTCAATTATTTATTGTTTCATTCCATAGATACGGTGTATGGTCGAAAAAAAAAAACGGCGTCCAGTTGACAGGGGAAATGACGATCGATGACATTTCCCATATAAAATGACAGCGAAGTTCATTTCATAGCCATCGCTGACGCCGTTTTTTTTTTCTATCATACGGTAGTAGATTTGTTACATTACCCAAGATTACCCTTCCTTAATATTAATATTTTAATTCCAAATTGAATAATCTATATATAAAACCGTACCATGTTTGTGAAGAATAATTTTTTGTCTTTTTATGGTAACACATTTTTGGAATTTTAATATTTCAATATTACTCTATATAGTAAAAAAGTACATACGGCAAACTAAATTTATTTTAAAACGGTCTAAATTGATGCCCAAAATGATAAATCGTGGCAGAAACTGAGCGAATTGACGCTGCGAATTTTGTTCCCCCAAAATGTGCTATCTCTAACGATTCGACCTCGTTGGCAAACTTCAACCCTTAATAACTTTTTTTCTAGGAAAAAATACCTACTTTTTTTTACGTCATTCGATAGAGAATTAAAAGCTCTATCTCTATACAGAATCTCAGCCCAATCGGAGATACTTTAATTTTTCGGCTCGAAATGAGCTAAGGCTAACCCCTTTGCTAAATTTTGACCTAAAAATTAAAGTATCTCCGATTGAGCTGAGATTCTGCATAGAGATAGAGCTTTTAATTCTCTATCGAATGACGTAAAGAAATGTAGGTATTTTTTTCTTAGTTTTCGAGATAATTACGTTTTTCTAAAAAAATCTAACTCTTCGAGCTCGTTGGTCATATATTTTAAATTAATTATTATTTTAGAAAAATTAATTTTTAATAAAATTCCTTCACCATTTTGTCAAGAAGATCAAAAATATTTTTGACTGTATGACGGTATATTTTAAATTAATTAAAAAGTATTTTAGAAAAATACATTTTTAATAAAAATCCTTCACCATTTTGTCAAGAAGATCAAAAATATTTTTGACTCTATGACGGTATATTTTAAATTAATTAAAAAATATTTTAGAAAAATACATTTTTAATAAAATTCCTTCACCATTTTGTCAAGAAGATCAAAAATATTTTTGACTGTGTGACGGTATATTTTAAATTAATTAAAAAATATTTTAGAAAAATACATTTTTAATAAAATTCCTTCACCATTTTGTCAAGAAGATCAAAAATATTTTTTACTGAGCCTTTTTCATGCTTGTCTGAATTCACTTTGATTATCGAGAGACTATATTGTTTAGGTATTTCTGGCTTTAAAAATTCTATTAATTATTTAGGCTTAATATTTTTGGATATAGGGTGGAAAATAAAATACATTTGTACATATAATAAATTTCTTTATTCATGACGATAAGTATAAGTACATTGGGTATATACAGGGTGAGTTTTCTACGATGTTCTCTCTAGGGGAATCTACTAGAGCTAGTAGACTAAATTCTAATTGTTTAAAATAAAAAACGTTTAATTTTTAATCTTGTTTATTTTTAAAAAATTACATCTAATTCTCTCTTATTTTTTAATTGATACTAGATATTAGAACAGAATGTTATTTTTACAAGTGATTCCTTTAGTTGAAGTTTTAATATTTATTAAAAAAATGTATGTAATGTACTATTTTGTATAAAAAAAAATAAAATAGTTATGTAGATGATTTTTTGTTGTTTTTATACCGTATGATCGAAAAAAAAACGGCGTCAGCGATGGCTATGAAATAAAAATCGCTGTCATTTTATATGGGAAATGTCATCGATCGTTATTTCCAAGGCATACTGGACGCCGTTTTTTTTTCGATCATACAGTATAAATTTTTATTAGTAGAGTACCGTATGATCGAAAAAAAAAAACGGCGTCCAGTTGGCTTGGAAATAACGATCGATGACACTTCCCAAATAAATTTACATATAAAATGAGAGTGATCTTCATTTCATAGCTATCGTTGACGCCGTTTTTTTTTCGATCATACTGTATATGTATTAGAACTTAAAACAAAGGAACCACCTGTATTATATGTACACGTTACAAAAAAAAAATTCAATACAAAAGATAAAAAATGTCGATTAAACTAAGCTTAAACAAAAAATGTTACATTAAAATTATACAATTAAAGCTGCCTAAAAAATCACTAAATTTAACAAGAACGTGAAATAAATACATACACAGATCACATAAAATCTACAATGAACGTAAAAAATACAGACTAAACTACAAGGACAACAAAAAATAATTATTAAATTACATTAATTTAAGTAGGGTCTCCTTAACGCTTACAAGGAATCATTCAACTGAATTGGATCTTTATTTACAACCCAGTTGTTTTTATTTTTTT